CTACTTACTAGTATTGGAATTTAGATCTAAGGGAAGACCACTCTGAGTGCAGACAAATACCATAAAATCAGAGTGTGCAGTGTAGAGAGGGATCTTAATGACACTTGTTGCACTGGACTAGAATGCAATGTCAACCAAAATAAATTAAGTCCAATTCCATTTAAATATTATTGACAAAATCAACATTATTTTCATTTCATGTTCTGAAAAAAAAATAAATAAAAAAAAAGAAGAAGACTGGATAGAATTAAAATTAACAATCAAAATTATATTGAAGGAATTTTCGATAAAGTTACGTATTACTATTTTTTTTATCAAACATCTAGTTTGGGTATGCAAAACCTATACAGAAGAAAAAAGTCATCACTCGTCTTTGACTGGTTAGTAAATGTCTTTATTTACATGAGAATTACTACTGTAACAGGTTATCTTAATAAGAATTGCACTTTACGAGAATGCAATATCAGTCACAAAAATTAAATTTATAATTTTGTTTTACGTGATTTTATTGAATATAAGGTTAAGACTGACCATTTTTCTAATTCAGTTTCTTTAATAGGGATTTTAAAAAACAGACTACATGTATATGTTTTTATTCACGTTTTCTGGTATGCTGATGTTGCCGCCTTATGTTGATATGAATCCAAATTAACAATCCAGTAACTATGTCGAGGTTAATATGATATTCCACATATCTGGGGGTTTTTTCTTGGGTCAAACGACTAGTTTAGATATATAGATAGAATTCTCGTGTTTAACTGATACGTAGAAATTTTGAGAATGATGCAGATATGCATCAGGAAAGATAACAGAATTTACTCGTAGAACAGTACTTAGATGTCAGTTCTCATCAAAAACAGTACTTTTGCTGGCTTTTTAATATCGAAAACTGATTGAGTATTTTGAAAGATACAGAGGAAAAATTTTAATGAGAAGGTCCCCACACAACCGACTATACTAATACTGATGAAACTACACCACTATGACATAAGAGGTCAAACCCATGATTAAATCTGGAGCTTCCTTACTGGAAGCAAAGAATGTGTTGCATTCGATTGCCTATCATAATCAACCACTGTCTTATCAGGAGTCCCCAGGGGAACTGTCTTAGGCCCACTGCTCTTCTTGGTCTTCATCAATGACCTGTCATCATTATTCTCAACCACCACTCGACTCTTTGCTGATGTCACAAGGGGCCCGATTTACAGAAGAACTTACGAAGGAAACATATGGAGATAACGAACAGTATTCAAGATCAACAATCCATAAAACAATACATGTACAATACAGGAGCAGAGCATATACGGACCTCCAAAACATCAGAGGTGGGATCAGAAGCCATGGTGGAGAGCATCCCCTGCCGACCGGTCACACCCGCCGCACGCTCCCTGTCATGATCGGGAAATAAGTAAAAATCCGTCGTCAATTCAGAGTATAAATATTGGACTAAGAATTAGTATGAAAAACGTCAGTCAGCATTTGACTCAATGATAAATTTTATAGACGAGACTGTTGATATTATTGTGTTCTCAATTTGTTTGTCAATAATTTACCTCGTTTTAGAAACTGTTCATACATAGAGCATGCTCTTGCGTATCGAATCAACTGAGATATATAAACTCCGTATGCAGGTGATGAAGGTACTAGTATACTGCTGTATAAGTAAGGGATTAAGACCAAAAATAAATTCTGCATATAACTTTCTAATTAACATTAGAATGAATTTGAAAGAAATGTAGTAGATTTTGTTTACAATAGCAATTTTACACAGAATAATCAATTTTGCCAAATTTTACAATCAACTTGAGTTTTTGGTCTTAATCTTAAGATCTTTTGTAAAACGGGCTCCAGAAGACCAGGCCATCTTGAAAGCGGCCTCAACAAGCTTCAGGAGTGGTAGGACAAGTGGCTTATGCGGTTCCATCCAACAGTCTTTAATCCAGATGAATGTGAAGTCCTACGGGTTTCCAACCGAATGCCCCTACTAGGTACCAAATACACTATCCACGGTGAGGTCCTGAACACCACCGATCCCGTCAAGTATCGTGGTCTTACAGTCCCCAAGAGCCTCAGCTTGGATACGCACATAGACAAGATCACTAAGAAGGTCAACTTCATCCTGGCCTTCCTAGGCAAAACATCAGCCGCTGTCCAACCAACATCAAGGCACAGTGTAACTCCACACCGGTACGACCTACCATCGAATATGACTCTGGCACAGGGGCCGGTAACATACTTTTTTGATTTTACGTAATCACTATATATATGCAAAAAAGGAAAGGGAAACAACGTCAGCCCGAATTTACACAGGGTCGATCTCGGAAATATTTCGTATTTCATAGAAAAAAAGATGTAGCCAATTAAATTATAACTAGAAATCATACTACAATAAATATTCTTTAATAAAACAGAAACCTCGTTACTTTTTATAGCGTTTAAGTTGTGTAATACTAACTCGATATCCCCTTGTGCGAGTCGATGTACTTTAAGTCGTCCACTAAAACGAGGCAAAATTCGCACATTTTCTCCAGTTTTGAAGTCTTTCCGGAGATGGAAAACACAAAGTAAAGATCAAGCATTAACGAAAATCATCTTTTTCTTTTGTTAATTGCAATTAAAAGGTACAACATCTCCGATTTGAATAAATACGGTAGCTTTTTTCGTTCACAGAGAGGCTCGAGCCCAGAACAGACGACATTTTGGAAAAACCCATGATTGGTAAAAGGCGGAGCGTGATTGGTCAGATCTGTTCTAGAAAAGCACCATTGACCAATCACATCTCGCGTTAAATATTGGATGCAATGTTTAGCGAATTTAGTGGACGACTTAAACTACATCACTTGCATGAAAGGATATCGGATCTGCAAAACACGACTTACACAATTCTTAAATGACCGCGGTGGTATTTTTATTAAAGAGTGATTATTACTGAATGATCCCAGACGTTATTTCACTAACCGCAAGGTATTTTATTGAAAACACGAGTCATTTCCGAGATCGACCCTGTGTAAATTCGAGCAGACGTTGTTTCCCTTTCTCTTTTTGTATACATATAGTGATTACGTAAAATCAAATACAGTACTGTATGTTACAGGCCCCTGTGGACTCTGGCATGTGGAGTAAAGCCCAGAAGGAGAGCACCAAGAAGGTTGCGGCGGTACAGCATAGGGCAGCTAGATTCGCCATTGGGGATTACCAACGCATTAAAAGCAGTGTAACATCCATGCTGCAGTAGCTCCAATGGCAGACACTGTTGATCCGTCGGGAAAGGGCGCAAGTACTACCATCTTTTAGACATCTCGGTGGAGAGCTACATACGTATATCCAGCATCGTTGAGAACCAGAGGCCATGCCCTTCTATTCTTTGTACCATACACCAGAAGTGTACTATACCTCCTTTCCCCAAGCCATCCGGCTGTGGAGCTCAGTACCAAGAGGAGCATTGGAGGCCAAGACCCTGAACAACTTTAAGACCAAGCTGTCCTGTGCCAGCCACTGGTAATCACAGTACCTCTAGTTTATTATCTGAATTTACATTATGCAGAAATAAAATATTAAATTTTATACCAAAATGAATTCAAATCAGAAAACACCCACTCCAAAAAGGATAAAAGAGAATAATAATAATAATAAAAACCCAAAAGCGAAATAAAACTAGCGGTACTGTGAACAATGAGCGTACTAAATGACCCCCCCCCCCGCCTCCCCTATGAATATAATGGCGGTGTCCATGTTTTGCAATTGGAAACCCAAAATATGTGTCGGATCATAAAGTAAATTAGGAGATGCTCAATGGCAATATGTATTAAAATTTCTGTGAAAGTCTCATCAAATTCCATTCAGTGGTATGGGAGGAGTTGCAGATAAGAGATGTGTACCCCAAAGCGTAATTTTATAACAGACGGACGGACTGACATAAAGATTTTACCAAGTGCCGATTTAACTAAGTGCCGATTTTACCAAGTGCCGATTTAACTAGTAATTTTATGAAAACAGTAATATCAGGCACCTATATACCATATAGGTCACTGGTAATATGAATCTAGAAAAATTCCCTTTTAAAGAACTGCGAACGATAGTATTGTTCTCCTGCCTACATCCAAGTCAATTTTCATTTTTAACATTTATATTGATATTTATATGGATTTTCCTAAAACATTACTTATTTGGGAAAACAACGAAAGATAACTCTAAAATTTTGGTAAAACACGTGTTTTTCACAATAGAAATCAACGGGAAAATATTTTTAAAACATCTCTCCCCCCCCCCCCCCCCCCCCCCCCGTGACACAAAAATTTCTTTTTACGGGTAATATGGACTGCCATTTCACAAATTCATATGTTTATATACAAAAAACGACAAAAAATGTTTCCTTTTTCAGCAATTTCCAAGTGCTTTAGCCATTGAAACATTATATTTTACTAATATAATATGATTAATTTTATAAGTATAAATCATAAGAAAAGATTTGAGAAACATTTGATCATATCTAAGACTATTTCACAAAACGGTGATGCTTTATAGGCCGACTTCTGTGGAAAATAGCTTCTAAACCCCCCCCCCCCCCCCCCTTATTTCAAGAGCTGGAATTGGGGATATTTTACCATTTGGTACTGGTATTAAAATTATTAAACGACTACCATTGAACTGTTCTTTGTATTAAACAAAGATTCTATAGCCAAATTGTCTTTAATATTGAATTAAATAGTCGTAAAATATAAGCGGGAATCGGGAGTTAGCGTGCGTATATAGTTCTTTGTAAGTATCATTTAGGGCTAGGACACATGCAGGCACCTGACGTTACTTATTTTTCTTTTAATAAAAAAATATACCCATACCTAATATTATTAGGTATGGGTATATTTTTTTCTATTAAAAGAAAAATAAGTAACGTCAGGTGCCTGTTGGCTAGGGCTACTGCCTAGGCTTTCTGATCCGATATCTGATCCTATTCCGGAAATAAAATACCTGACCGATTTTGAGGAGTAATTACGTAGACACCTTCATTTCCTTTATGTTGTCATTTGGCAGAAAGAAAATGGAATATATTCTATTGCATCTGATTTAGGGTAAGATAAATGCTTTAGACGAGCTGAATTTAATGAATCTCTTTAATAAACATTGTACATAATTAGTAGGCATTCCAATCAATTTCAAATACCTATGAAAAGTTGTAATGATGCATTACAAGCAAGATGTCAGCTTGTCCTTCATTGACATCCCTGACGTTTTAATCAGCGTGATCAGTGAGACTCAAAAACTTACAAACAGGTGCCTTAAAGAAAGCAATACGGCTTAATGATTAATTATGGGGATATGATGATATATGTTATACGTTACAATACAATGAGAAGCAATAAATACAAATTACTTCCCAGAACTACAATATCGTATCCTATTTTCGACCGTATTGTATTTTCGACCTATTTTTCCCAACCCGCTTCCCGTGCAGATACCGCATGGTAGAACATTATTTTCGATTGCTACACTTGGAAAAATACCTTTGAAGCACAACTGTAGTGAAAATATCCCAAATAATTAATTCAACAGAATTCCCTCGATGGTTTAAGTCCGTTGTCAGAAATTCTAGTCTTTTTACTAATGCACATTTTATCTGTTGATTAATCAAAGCCGTGATCGGTTAATTACAAAAAAATTTCGATGACATTTTTCCGAAATAAAATTTAGATCTCTGTCAAAGAGACGCATGAATATTGTAATGAATGGGTGGATCAAACGAATTTTTTTTCTTCCTTAAATATGGGCACTTTCTTACAGATTTTTACTGAAAAATGCAATGTAATTTCATTGATTTTTTTGTGGAAATGCACAACTACTGACAGATGGGTTCAACCAACAAATAAATGTATTTGCAACCAAAATATGCAACTTGTTCAGTGTTTTTTTGAAAGACAGACAATCGTATTTTTATTGTTTGGAATATCCAGTGGATATTTATAGCCAATACTGATTGGGCGTTGATACTATATTTAGGTCGAAAACACAAGACGCTAATATTTTTGTAAGGAAAACTGCACCCTCTCTATATTATGGCATATAAATAAAATAAACACAAAACTGCAATATGGGTTATATCTTAATAGAAACATTTACTAACATTTTAGGCCCATATTTTCTTAGATTCTCTAAAGTTTGCAAAAAATTAATAAATAACATCTAAATAGGTCGAAAATACAATACGCCAGGATACAGTAATAACAAAAGATTTTTTTTTTATTAAGTTCAAGCTATCATGGGCCCCTGTCTTGTGAAACTACATGTATTAACTTTAATTTGATTCATAACCCTTTTAAAAATTTTAGTGGAATTACAACAGTTGATATAAAAAGGATATCATATTCTTATGATCAATCACATCCACTGTATAAAGTAGAAACATGAAAAAATCAAATGTAATAAATCAATTTAAAAAAATTGAGTTAGTATTTGTAATAGTTAAGAATATCATCATAATAATATATAAGCAAATATTTAAGGAATCCTGTCTAGTTAGTATAGTATGCCAGGGCATCAATGATAGTGGGAAGTGTGGGGTAATTTGCATAACGGGTGAAGCCTGTTATGCATAATTAAATATCCCAGGTTTCCCACTATCATTGATGTCCCTGGCATACTATACTAACTAGATAGTGATTCCTTATATTTCCATTTCATTGTGAAATGAAATTGTAGATTTAGATTCTTAAAATGTAGACTAAATAGATTGAAATTATATGAGGACTCCCATGCCAATTTCAATAGACCTCGCCAACCGACGTCAAACACAAAGACAGCAGCACGAAATTTACATGCATATTTGGCCTCCTTAGCATCGGTCACAAAAACAGACGCGCACGAGATTTACATGCATATTAGGCCTCCTAAGCTCTTGACCTAATTGATTTGCCTAATTTACATTCTGGTAGAATTACCAAGAAATCATCTCCACTAACTTTTAAAGAGTTATCACAGAGGAAAAATTAGAAATGGAAATATTTGAGGACTAAAGATGTCAAGTGTAATTTTTCAGTCCTTAGAGAAGTGGAAAGGCTTTCCCCTACATTTACTTCTCTTCACAGGCCTTTATGTTTTGATTCTGGAAAATATACAGAATGTAGAATTGATGACAGCCTACACCTCAGTCATTCTGTCTTACACTGTTTAAAGCTTAAACTGCTTCTGCAATTTATGATTTTTTAATTATTTAGGTTATGATTGGCCAATGCAAAATGGAGTAAGTTGAAGCACTGAACTAGGAAGATGTTTGGCCTAAATGGCCTGAGTAAGGTGAAGAGGTTGATTCTGGGAATTTTTGTCCTGCTTATTGTAGATTTAATTTGGGTTGCATCTTCAGAAGTGACTGAGGTAAGTTAATTTGATTTCAATATCTCTCTCTTAGTCAGTTAGTCAATGCACCTCGTAAAAGTGTTTTAGCCATTTCATCATGTTCATAATAGTTATTGTTTGGAGTGAAAATATGAACAATCACACTTCATGTGTTGCTATTTTAATTTTTTTTTACATTTTGCTCAATGAATTGACAGATTTGGAAATCTAAGTTTGTTAAATGTGTTAAATTATGGCAAACCTTACAAATTTATTACATTACATACATTACAAAAAAATTATGTTACAGTATTTTAAATAGTCTTTATAGAAATTGCTTCTTTGTTTACAGAACTATGTCAAAGACATATACTTTCATTATTTATCAAAATATTAATGGTATTATTAAATCATATTAGATATCAATGGTTTAAAAATACCTTCTATTTGTATTTGCAGTATATATTCAAAGACACTCACTATGACAAACCATTCTTCACTACTTATATCAAGACCAGCATGTTTAGCATTTATCTCCTTGGATTTATATTCTTTGAGCCATGGAGAATGCAGTGCAGAAAATCCAGCACAGTAAGTAATAGAGTGTTCTAATTTAACACCTGTAATAAATGTTTCAAATAGTAAAGTAATTTTATAAACCAGGCTTTTCAAACCTTGATTCAAAATGAAACCAAAAACTTTCTTCTTTTACAGATGAATTCGACTTTGACAATCAATAACGGTGAAGATGAAAGGGAACACAACACACAGGATCCCCTGGTGAGACTTCTACACATTCGACTTTCTGTGTTTCACATATTGAAGACTGTACATTGAATTTATTATGCACTTACCGGGAAAAGCGTTTAAGGTTGCGTAAAATGATCTCTGCAATACTGAGTATTTTACATTGTTATAAACATAATCTTTGTTTTTTATACAGAGTGAACCCCAGTATGTTCCAGCAAAATTCGATGACAAAGCCAGTGGAACAGAATCAGATGATTGTATGTTATTTTAAAGATTTATCTAAATTATCATTCAGTTGTATTTACTGAACTGAACTATAAGGTTTTTATTGTCTTTTCAGCTACCTCATTAAATCGTTCTGTGAGATTTAGCAAGGTGAATGAAGTCCGACAACTCTCAGGTATATTTTCCCCGTTTTTTTTTTTTTGTAATTAAAAAACTGACAATTTTTTATATATTACTTTCTTCTTTACCTTACTTTTAACAAATCAACGAATTTCATGCATTTTATTTGTTTTTATCTATGTAGAAACTTACGCTGAAGACGCTGTGATAGCCCGGCTGTCTTATTCTGCGTCATTGCGGGCAGAAGAATCTCGTTTACGTGCCATGTCCAAGCTCACTGTAAAACAAGTAGCTAAACTGGCACTGTTGTTTTGTGTGTTGGTAAGTTTGCTGAGAAAATACTATATACAGGTCACTTAGGCTTACTGGCAAGAAATGAGGACAAGGTTCAAGGACACAATAAAGTACAATAAGCCTTTAAAGGGATATTCACTCTGGGATGGATATTATGTTTACCCTTTAGCCATAAGCAAGTTAGATATACTAGCAAAAGAGTATGGTACATGTACATGAAGTCCATGTTACTAAAGTGACAATAAACAGTATAACCTACACCATTGAAATAAGTGTCTGCATGCATACAAGTGAATATGTGGGACAGGTCTAATTAGTACTTACATAAATAATTTTTTTTCTGCAGTGGTTTGTGGGGAATTTTTCATACCAGGAGGCCCTGAGGGACACTGAGGCGGGCATTGTGAATGTCCTGTCCTCAACCTCGGGACTTTTTACCCTCATCTGTGCAGCTCTGTACCCCAGCTCCAGTGCCGACAGATTCACCCTCTCCAAACTATTTGCAGTTTTTCTCAGGTATTTAGTGCAAAATAAACCTAGAAATATTGTTTGTGTAAAATTTTCTTCTATATTTTAGAGAGAAATAAAAATTATTATCTCTGTTACTGCTACATTTTACATCCAACATGTCAATTATTCAATTAAGACTTGTTTATTTTATTTTGTAGTGTTCAATATGATAAAAGTATGATAAAAGCTTTAAATGATTTATACCCCAAGTAGAAAATTTATTTTACGAAGGTTTTATTTACTGCAATCTTGTAGTAATAAAACATTATTAAATCTCATTATTAAATTCAAGGCTTCCAATTTAAGTTCAGAGGATTTTCTTTCTGATAGCATATTTTTATTATAGTATTGGAGGAATAGTGATGGTCAGTGTAGCTGATCTTTCATTTGAGGACAAGATTCCTGTGGGGGCATTGTGGGCTCTTTGTGGCTCCATGTTGTATGCTCTCTATCTTGTTTCCCTTCGGCGGCGAGTCGACCATGAAGATAAACTGGACATCACCATGTTCTTTGGTAAAACTATAAATGTTTGGCAGTTTGTAAATTATTTTAAGAAAATGTCACACTGTGATCTAATATTTACATCGTGTGCGTCGAATTTCATCAAATAAAATGGGTAACAGAGACAGACAATTGATTGCTTAGGACTTAAACAATTTTATGATTAATAAGGTAGGTGATTGATTTTCTTTCACAAAGAAAGAAATTTATTCAGAGATGGGTCAAAAGTTATTTTTTGGCATGTATGACTCCATGTTATGTTTGTAAGGTGTAGCATTTCAAGTGAAAAACTGATTATGACTATTTCTTTTAGGTTTTGTTGGACTGCTCTGCGTTCTCCTTTTGTGGCCGGGATTTTTCATTCTTCACTTCAGCGGGACTGAAGTCTTTACTCTGCCCAATTCTCGCCAGTGGTTGTTCATAACTATCAATGGTTTGATTGGAACAGTATTGTCAGAAGTTTTATGGCTTTGGTAAGTATAAACTTTATCTAAGAGAAATTACTACAGTGGACCTCCAGACATCCGCACGCCAGATATCCGGATGCTTCAGTATCCGGATGATTTTTCATCGGAACAGATTTTTTAAAAGTTATTTTATCTTGTTTAATTGGTAATTCAGATATCCGGAGGCTTCATATATCCGAACAAATTAACTAGGAACCAAAGCGTCCAAATAAACGAGGCTCAACTGTACTTCTCTTTAAAGTAATTATGTACTTTTCAATTAATGAGAAAGAATATTGCGATTTGTCTTAAGAACTATTTTTTGGAGGGGGGAGGGGGTTATTTTGAATGTTATTTCACAAAGATAGCCTCTTGAATATGATATTTTATGTGTTGATAACTGTTTTAGGGGATGTTTCTTGACCTCCTCCCTGATTGCAACTCTTGCTCTAAGCTTGACCATTCCTTTAACCATGTTGGCTGATGTACTATGGAAAGGGGTAAGAATAATAATTTTTTTGTCAAACAAGTTCCCAGTGTAGAATGATTGTTAAAAGTTGCCATACCATGGGATCTATTGTATAGAATGTGATCAATGTTATTGACAGTGCCTTTGTAAAGATTTGAAAAACTATTGAATATGAGAAAAATACAAAAAAAGGTAGATCAATCACTAGCTTATCAAAACAATAATCTTTAGTATTTTTAGATTCTAATTTCTGATAAATGTCATAAATATGATGAATAGCCTGAATAAGAAAAAATTCGCTAAACTTTGAAGATCAAAGGGGAATAACTTAATCTGTTAAAAAAAAATCGATATAAACCAAAAAAACACATATCATTAATATTTGGTTTTTATTTTATGTATTTTAGGTGACATACAACTGGTTGTTTTATGTGGGTTCTGTTCCCGTATTCCTGGCATTTTTCGCCGTCAGTCTTCTGACGCATTATGAAACATGGGACCCCGTTTTACTGTGCTTCAAGAAGGTCCTACATTGCTTCTGTCGACGAAGATTGCTGCCCAGGTTAGTTATATTTCATAAATCCCATTTCTGTCATTTACAGCTTTTCACACATGTTTAGTGAATCAGACTGTTTTACAGTCATTGATACAGGCATTTCTAATGTATTGCCTAATTTAAAAAGTCCTTAAACTCTATTGGGTATGTGGTATTAAATAGAAAGTAGTGGTATTAAATAGAAAGTAATTTATACCTTTTCCATATCTCATGCTGTATCAACCATAGACCAATATCAGCTTTACATCTTTACAGGGATATGAAAAAAATCATGTAACATAAAAAATTTATCAGTATGAGAATTCTAGAATTTCTCCACAGATTAGCTCTCAAAATGCAAAAAAAATCAAAAATAATATTTATCAGAATTTCCAGGGGTCATGCCCTTATAGCCTCCCATTTTACTGGGGAATATATATTTGCATGTCCAACACTGATGTAAAGATTTTCCCCCATTTATAGCTAATTGTAAAAAGGCTAACGGATTGCGCTGTTTGTGACGTGCTAACGCCTTGCTTGTCGAGAGGTTTAAATACTACGTCACATTGTCACCACATCAAAGGAAGTAGCTGAGATCGCGTCTCTCCCAGGCTAAAGTCGGTCAGCTGCAACATACAGCTTGTTTGTTGGGTAAAAAAAAGTGGACTAGACAGTCCCGATGTCGTTTTCTTGAATATTACCAGCATAGTTAAATGTCTTTAAAACTTGAATTAATCAATTAATCAATGAAAGCATTTTATGATTTTTTTTTCAGTCCATTACGAATATTTAAATTGGTCGATTATTACATTCTATCGCAAACTTTATCTTCTTCATATCTGCGTACATGTATAAAAATCAAGTATTGCATAAGTCATTGATCATTGAATTTATTGGTTACGCGTATCAATCCAAGCCATTTCTGATATTGTTGCAACTTTGTACAAAATACTGCTGAAAAAATAGAGCCCCCTCTCCAGGCATATATTCGAGAGAAATGGTGAAGAGGGAAGGCCGGAGAAGACGTTCAAATTTTATCAATTGAAGTTCATTTTAGTTACGTTTTAATTAATTTTGTATGTTCAGTATAATTAATACCGAACGGCAGAGTGTAAAGCGTAAATCTATCTACTCATGCAAATATTGGAAATAAATTGGCTGTTCTCGAAAAAAAAAATCTATCCTTGACCAGCAAGAAAATAAATAACATGTCCTTGGCTGGTACTCTAACCCTTTCCCCCACCCGATTTTTTTTCTTTTTGTTTTTATTCATATAATTATTATTTTCTATTCAATTGTAAAATTATTCTTTTTATATTTATTTGTTTTACTCTATGATCTCTTTTCTCTCTCTCTCTCTCTCTCTCTCTCTCTCTCTCTCTCTCTCTCTCTCTATGAATTCATTCTAAATATGTAACAATTGATAATCTACTCCTCAAACATTTTTTTTTCCAATGTTTACTTCAATCACATGTACTTGTAATTGTACCTTGACCTATTGAGAGAACGATCATAGGCATCTAAGTCTGCTGTTCAATGCAATTCAATGAATAAAATATATTTTGAACTAACCCCACCCGAAATAGAGTTTACCTTTTTTTCTTTGGCTTGTCAAACTTTTTTCGGATAAAAAAAAGAAAAGAAGTTATCCGTCCCTGACTTACATGATGATATGAAAGAAATAATCTGAAACAGAAAATTAACCAGCCCCTCTCCCGGGGGTCCCTTTCCCAACTCAGTGTATGTACATTCATTTTCCCAATGCAGCTACTGTAACAAGGAACAATCGTCTCATCTCTACAGCTCCATTTTTTCCCTTCCGCTTGCATTAATACAATATAAATTGTGACATATACATGTACACAAATGGCAAATGCTATAAAAAATAAAATTATCACCTTCAATTTATCATGGAGTCTAAAAAATGCCTTATAATGCTATTTTCCAACTGTTTATTAAGATTTGTGCTGTCTGTCCCCTTTTGTAAACCGTTTAACATCGGCGATATGTATTGCAGCTGACCGACTTTAGCGTGGGAGAGAAGCGATCTCGGCTACTTCCTTTGATGTGGTGACAATTGACGTAGTATTTAAACCTCTCGACAAGCAAAGCGTTAGCACGTCACAAACAGCGCAATCCGTTAGCCTTTTTGCAATTAGCTATATTTGAAAAGGTATTCAGACAAAACATTAAAATAAATCTCTTGACTGTTTTTAAAATTTTATCGGTAACTCTATGATATAAACATGAATTTAGGCCTGCAGGATCTGTTTTGGCAAACACAGCTATTGTGATGTCAGGCATATTGCATTGACCATTGTATATGCAAAAAAAAACCTTATTGAATATGTATTATGTATCTATTGAAATCAGATAAATGGGTTTTAAAAAGTTCTCCGAGATTTAGACAGAAATTTTACATTGTTTTCCTGTAATATGCAGTATTTATTCTTCTGACAAAGACTATGGTATGTTTGTATTCCAAAATGAAATGGTCTGGGAATTATATTCAAGAGCTTTCCAATAAATTACACTGTATAGATGTAGCATTTCATTCATTCTAATGATGCATGTACCATATGTGTTGTGGTTCTGTTGAGGGATGAATCATAATTACATGTATAGAGGACAAAACTCTAAATGTACTCCATAAACAGAAATATTGTTTACCTTTTGATATAGCAATAGGCATCACATAAAATAATCACATTTTGTACAACTTCTGAATTTCCTCATGCAATTGTCATATACTTTTCACTTTTAAATATGGATCAATATTGTTGATTTTACCATGACATAATTGTTGAAGGGTGAAGGAGGGCAGGGGCTACTCTTTGGCTACATTTAGTAATATGTTTCTTAATTCTATATGAAATATTATAATAAATTATTTTTAAGTTGAAGTTGTCAATGTAAACCAAACCCACTGGATTTTATTGGGAACTTAAATGACGTTGCCCTTGGTAATACGATAATTTATTATGACAAAATGAACATTGTAATAACGGGAGTCCATGGTAGTGACCTTTTTATGTTTACATCATTTTAAACTGTTTAATGTATATCCAAAATATACCCTGTAGGTGAAAATGAACTAGAACAAAACATTCACAAATTTCAGACTATAGCATATAAAATAGTTTTCTTGTTAAGTTAGAACATGGATATTGTGAATTTTTGAATAAAGAAAAGTTCTTTTTTCAATCCCTGGTAAATTCCTAACAATTGGTTGTAAGGTTTTCGGACTGAGATGTTGTGAATTTATGGTAAATAATATTAAACTGATTTTGTGTCCCCTAGAAGTTATAAATAAGACAGTTTACATCTTTTACAGCAATCTTTAAAGATATGGTATTATAAATGCTGTCAGTATTTATATTTGAAACACAAGTCATCTGAAAACATTTGAAATACATTTTGTTGTCAAACTTAAATGAAAAATTTAAATTGAAAATTCACTACTTTACTTTAATAGGAGTATAACAATTTAGAGATAATACATGTATGATAAAGTGAATTTCTAGGCCCATTGAAGTTTGCTATAACTAAGTTTAACAGTACCTTGTATTTTATGATTTATGTCTCTATGAAACTATTTTACTACAATATTTCCTCAATTTACAGAGCTGGGAGCAATTGCGTTCAAATTAGGTATTCAATTTTTAACTAATTTACAGTTCAAGGTGTTCTTGAATCTTGATAGCTGGTCCCTGCAGCTAATCCTTTTGCTCTTCCAGAACTTCTAAAGCTTTTAAAATAAAATATTTGCACAGAATTGTCTTTAACTTCTATGTGTTGATATTCATGCTTTTGTAGAACATTGTTGATTTTGCCAAGTGTGAAAGCACTAAGTTGAGTTTCCCACCTTTCACTTTTATAAAATTATCAAAATTTTTGAAGAATTCATGATAATTAAAGTGATGAAATACACAGTCAAACTTTGTTATCTTGAACTCAACTGGACCAAAAAAAAAGAAGAGATATATCCAAGGATTCAAGGTATCAATGTTAAAATTCATATAGACTGATTGATTGGTTTTCAAACTCGTTTCAACATATCCATAGTAGATGTGCATTTGAGATATTGATGTTCAAGATATCAAAGTTTTACTGTGTATTACTGCAGTAATCATTCATATTATTACCATTTAATTTTTGTGATAGTATGGAGACAACTTTGTGGGTATTTTTAAAAAGTATTTTGCTTTTAAATTAATACTTTCTGTATAAATTGGCACACAAGTGAATAATAACTTTTTCTTCTCTAAATCCCCATATTTTGAAATCGCAACTTTTTTTGAATAAATGATGTACAAACATTATCAATTTTTTTTTTAAAGAGTAAAAACTGTGTGCTTTGTCAAATTGTCACATATTTAAGGAATATGCATACCACATACACATGTATTATACTATGTATACTATAATGCATACTATATATATACATCACGTTACTTTTTCTACTTTAGGGTACGAGAAATGGACAGGGAACAGAGCGAGAGTCTAATAGAAGGCAGTTCCTGATTGGTGTTACCCCACAACCTGTGATCTGGTCATTTTGTTTTTTACTGTCTTGTTATGCTTGTTTATGACTAATACTTGTTAATTTAATACTAAAAAAAAAAAGATATTTTCGTTAGTCAATGCAAATATTTTAATAATTTTATCTTGTTTTTTTTGAGGGGGAGGGATCTTTTTACAAATCTTTTCTTTAGAAAGTTTTAAAAAATATTAAAAAAAAGTAGCAATTGATCAGATCAATTATAAATATACAGTTCAACTTTGGTATCTTGAAGTCAGATGTCTCGAATACCATGGATATGTCGTAGTGATTTGGAAGTCCCAACCACATATTCTTAAAGTATTTTACCTGCGATATCTTGAATCCTGAGATATCTGAGTTTTTCTCAGTGCCATCAGGTTTGAGATAACGAAGTTTGACTGTATATCATTTTACACATGAAGATAAGTTTGAAAAAATTCTACACCACATTGCTTGTATTTTTAATTCATATATATGGGATTACCTCAAAATCAGTGTACAGAATAATTATCAACAACTAGATACATGTACTAGGCATATATAAAATGTTACCCTGACTTTACAAAGTAACCAAATACTTATAAATAATATGATGAAATAGGGGGTTACAGAATATACACAACGTTTAGTGAAGAGAGTGTCCTCCTTACAATTACTGATATAGAGCACCAGTGATTTATGTACTTATTTTACGAGTTCAGAACAGAAACTTCTTTTTTGACACCTTTTCCTTCAAACATCACTATTAGGAATAAAAGGAATTTAAGCAAAAATCCTTGCCATGATGAAGTGACATGAAGTCTTTCTTCTTTGTTTTTGTTTTTGTTTTTTTTTTGTTTTTTATAGCAAGAAACAGATTTCATTTCAAACAGTTCCTGTTCAACTTCATGTATTTTGAGTCATTTAAGCAGAAGCCACTTTAATGTTTGTAGGTAAGAATGTGTGATAAAATGTACAATATTTTGTTCAAGTTTTGATTTTTTTTATATTCAGGAGGACAGAAAAAGTCATTCCATAAAATTCTTTTTTAATTCGTTATTGTGAATGTATGTTATCTGAATTGTTCTGTTTTTCAGTTTACTGAGACTTAAAAATAATAGCATGTTTTTTTTTAATATGCAATACAGGTATACTTTAGTGCTCCTTATAGGACTAAAATTTATAAACTTAGAGAGTAGACAGATATATGTATAATTTAATATAACTAATCATATCAAATGTACTACTAAGATTGTGATAATTGTTTTAATTAAGACCAGTTGTGCAATATTTTATTATGAAAAGGACTATGATGTGTTTGTTTATACAGGCACAGTTGTTAAAAACATGCAAAAGTGAGAAAGTTATATTTATATCCTACATTAAATAATGGAGTTAAATCTGATAATGTATGTAAATTCTAGACAATATTTTTTTCTTTTTCCTGAGGCTTGCTACTCTGAGAGTTTTAAGTTCCATAATACTCTGTACTCATAAATCATGAAATAAAGGAACTTCAGTTTTATGTTTGTAAATTATTGTTTTTGTATTACATCTCTGG